GTGTGTGTGTGTGTGTGTGTGTGTGTGTGTGTGTGTGTAATAATAATAATAATAATAATAATAATTAACGGTTTATTGAAAGAGCTTGGCAGCCAGAAGGCTGAAAATATACAGTTACATATTTGGGGAATGGGTTTCGAATTACAAATAATATACAAGTAACATAAGTGACACAAATAAGACATATAATAACTAGATGGGGAAAAGCTCAAACTACAGTTCATTTCAACATAGTGACAGTGTAAGGAGCAGTGTTTACTGGGAGTGAATACACTGATTTATTACAAGTTATTGATAATTTTTACAATGGTTGGGACTGGGCTGTTCTTATAGCGATCAGTTCGTGTCAATGTGTGTGTGTGTGTGTGTGTGTGTGTGTGTGTGTGTGTGTGTCGGTGTCCGGACCTCAATTTTCATCAGAAAATTCCAATGCATTTACTTTAATGCAGTACAGTATTGCAGTCAGGCATTTTTGTATTGTAAAAAGTAATTACTCCTGACCTCGCTTTGCTAGCCATGTTCTCCTCATGCGCCAAGATTAATATTGACATTATTCTGGTGGGTGTGCCTCATAAGTCAGAAAAATGCTGTAACTGTAGGAAAAATCAACATATTCACAGACTGCTTCACTCATCTTCTTTTAAATGGCAAGAAACATTAACATATTCTGTACTTCAAAAAATATTATGACGGATTTGTTTCATAAATGGGAAAAAAGACCGGTTGTAAGCTGAAAATATCATAAGGTGGAAAGTGGGTTAGATAAATTTTGTTGGGATGGCTAGCAGAAAAATATCTAAATTGTAATGCGGCCCATGACTGAGGAAAGGTTGCCCATGCCTGGCTTATGCAATTGGTTGAAATGTGACCCTTGTTATAACTTACGTGGAAAGCCAGTTGCATTATAGCATTAATTTAGCCATCTTTTGCTTATTTATCCCCAAATTTTGCGATTTTAGTAATTTTAGTTATTGGACATTATAAGTGCATGCTGTAGGTAAGACAGGTATACAGAAATTGAGTGCTATCCAAAACCACTCTTAAGGGGTTATTATACCATTATATATCCAGTAAGTATATAAAAATATTGAAGAAACCTGAAGCTGAGATGAGGATATGCAACATAGCATGCCTTTATAAAGTCAACAAATCCACATCAGAACTGTGAGGAAATACCCGAAGAAAATATTGTCTGCTGTCCACACCACCCACCTGGAGATTCAGAAGTTTGTGCCTGTTACCCATAGTTGTTCGAGAGGAAATGTCTGGCAAGTCCAGTAATATATAGAAATTTCAATATATGTTAAATGGCATTGCTTGTGTGGATTTTCCTATGCACAGACATGTACCAGTACGATATTCCCGCGCAATATGAGACCCCACTGTATAAGCACATTAAAATGTCCAGGAATTTAAAGCAGTAAATGAACAGTGTTGAGTAAAACCCAGTGAGGGTTGTCCAGTTTTAAAACATTCCCTTCAAATCTCATCAGCTGATCTAGTTGATGGCTTGGCATATCCCAGAGCACAGGGAGAAGCTGTGTATTCTTACGTGCTTTCTGGGTATCAGCTAGTGTCACCCTGCATTCTCAGATCATTGTGGATTCTAACCCAGTGTGTTGCCCTTAAAGTGTCTCCCAACACTTCTGAGTTAAAAAAAAAGAAAGAGTGCTTAGTATCAAAGAAAAAATGGAAATTTCCCAAAAAACTTGATGAGGGTAACCTAAGAGCACAGCAAGTTATGACTTGTAGAAGAAAGGTGACAAAATACTTGATCTTTGTCTGCTGACAATATTTTCCACCAAATGCCATGGCAGTATATCAGCATAAAATTTCAATATTTTCTCTCACTAATTCCTAAGTTGTACTGATCATGTACTTTGTTCACTAACTACATGGTTAACTTTTCTTTTATGCTTGAAACTCTATGTTTCCTTTCAGCAATGCAGTATACACTCAGTACTTGTACTATCACTGTTGGGTTTTTGAGGGCAGTGTGAGGGTAAAATTAAATATAATTTAAACAAACAAAGTGTACCTACACAGCACACCTGACAAGAATCAAGACTCATTGAAGACTGACACTTGACCCAATGTTGGGCACAGTACAAGTGAGTGTCCGTGACTGCAACATCTGCACTCGGTAAACTAACCGGCAAAAATTTAAGACAAAATAACTCATCAAGGGATGAACATGGGCGACCACATTTAGTATGCTCAAGCCTTTCGTAAAATATATTATTTCATAAAGTAGATTTTCTGTTGACAGATAATTTACTGTAATGGGTGGTAAGGAGCATGGGAAAAATAGTGACTTTTTTTTTGCAAAAAAAATGCTTCATGCTTTAATTTTTTATCTATAATCAAGGTAAAGATCCCCATGCATGACTGCCCAAAGTACGTGCTCCATTACGAAGGGTCTAACCCCAAGTAGCATGTATAATGCAATGTGGGAATAAGAATATGGTTAGTTTGTAGATTTAAGCGTGAGATGATTTGGTGATAAATGTTCTATTCTCATGAACAATAAATATTAAAATATATAAATAAATAAAATAATTAATTAATTAAGAGGCATGGCATATATAATTTGTGAAAGTCAGTCTGTTACAACCTTATTTTGAACTAAGGAAAGTGGCTGAATCAACCCAGATAGGTATCATTATTTAAAACAAGACACCTATGGACGTAGAGGTTAAGACAGTAATGCACATCCATCTTACAGTAGAGGCCTTAGTGATACATGGTCTTACCCAATGTCATTAGTGATCTAGGAGAAATAACACCTACAATCTCACTTTAATGACCAATGGGTTTCTTGTAGTCAGGATGCACATCTGCCTATGCATTTTGATACCAAAGGACATAATCCTAAGTCAGGCAGTGTAAATTTGAAACAAGGAAGGATTTAACCCCTGGAGTATGAGGACTTAAACCCCTTAGTACATTATCATTATACCCAAGGGAATTAGTCATCTTTAAAGGGTTCAGACATTGTACTCAAGCATGTAAGTCATTGAACTCAAGGGACAAACAACGTGCGTACTCGAGAGGTTAAGATATCTTACCCAATAGGCGAATTCATTATATTCAAAGGATAAGCATTGTACTCAAGGGGTTACTGTGTCTGGCACTAAAGGTGGCCAAGTCTCCTGCCACAATAAAGTCCAGGAGGCCATAAATCACATCAATAAAAACAAAAAATTTAAGATAAACTGATATTCAAAGATTGGTTAATATCCACTGCTATTTGTATGAGTAGTTACATTCACATAATTGGTTGTGCATGCATGTGCACACGCACAAACACAGGTGCCTGACACTCCTAAGTCCCTCTCTAACCGAGTGGTGGGATAAAATTAAAATAACCATCTTTCGCATACTAATGAGAATTAAAACAAATAAAAGATAAAGTTTAGTTAATTTATAAAATTAAGATTATATAAGTATTAAAAAATAAAAAAAATTGTGACTAATAAAGCACACTGATTATTTTAGCAGTTTATGAAATATGGCCAAATGTAGCTGTATACTGTAAACCTGGATGACCAAGAAGGGCCACCAATATGGATATCCCTTAACCCTTTACAAGATACTGTAGTACATCTGTGAGTAAAAAGTGAGACACAACCTGATACAGTACTACTGGCATGGGCAGCCCGGACCATGTGTGTGTGTGTGTGTGTGTGTGTGTGTGTGTGTGTGTGTGTGTGTGTGTGCGTGTGTGTGTGTGTGGCCTGTGGAGTGATTGAAAAATTCTATATAAAGTGGCTTGCGCTTCAAGTAGATGTAGCCAGTTTATGGTAAAGCAATGTTTATTAAAAGATGAATCTTAACACAAAATTAGTTACTGTTTCATCACCTAAGAGTAAGTAACTACAAAAATGCAACAGAGAAATAAGTATATATAGTCAACAATATAAACATTTTAACTTGTGTGAGTTTATGGGCCAAGTTCGTCGAGGTTTGTTTGATGGATTAGCTGTCATGTGGCAGAGAGTCACTTGGGAATTAAATAAAGTTGGTTAGTCCAAGTGGAGTCAGGGACAGTGGCCACACAGGGTTTAACTAATTAAGTACTTCCAGAATAACACAAAATCACCAAAATCGCCCTTTTAAACCCATACTTGGTGAGTAATTAGGATTGAAATAATGTAATCAAAATATTCCAAGCATCATTATGGCCACTAATTACCCTGCAATTGAATCATGGACCATAGATTTGGAATCGGCATGTTCAGGGGTATCTACAGTATACTGAGACTTACAACAAAATCTAATTTTTGGCCAAAACTGGCAAAATATTAAGCCCGAGTAATTTTTTGACCAAAATACTGTATAATTTTCTCTTTAAATTTAAATGGCTTAACTAATTGAGTACTTCCAGAAAATGCTTTAACTGTAGGAAAAATCAACATATTCACCAACTGCTTCACTCATTTTCTGTTAAATGCCAAGAAACATTAACATATTACAGTACTTAAAAAAAAATTATTATGATGGATTTGTTTCATAAATGGTAAAAAGGCTCTGACAGTAAAGTGAAAATATTGTAAGGTGGACGTGATGATAATATATTTCACTGTCCGTGCCGATACAATATTTACATTACTTTTGGGTTAAGTACGATATAAATTTTGGTGGGTTGACCCACAGAAAAATACCTAAATCGTTATGCAGCCCATGACTGAGGAAAGGTTGCCCATGCCTGCAGTACTACAATGTCAATACATAAAATATGATTTAGCTGCACAAACAAGTACTATACTGACATACATTAGAAGGTAAGACATAACATAAGGAAGGGAGATTGGAAAACGTAGTGAAACCCCCATTTAATTTTAACTTTACTCAAAACCACTGGACTAAAAATTTCCAACTTCTTTTAAAATGTAAAATTACATAGATTGCTATGTAAAATTACATAGCAATCTTACTCACTATTCAAAATATCTTACCTAATTTAAATGTACCAACTAAAACTCTTGAGATCGACTCACCATCATCGTGTGATACGTGTGGGCCGTCTCGAAGAGAGTCTAAGGAACCACATCGCGGCATTCCAGTTTCTGGACCATTTAAAATCTGTAGTAAATTACATTTTCATAAGATATGACAAAATTCTGGCTTTCTTTTAATTGTTTCTGAACTACTGATGAAGATCTTGGTTTGGCCTAAACCTACTTATAATTACAATTATTGAGCCTAATATTTATAGTACTTAGGAAAAATAACTAATGTATTGCTGCAAAAACTTTTGGTTAGGGAGAGCACAGACATATAATGGGGCGAGATGTTGGTACTGTACACGCTGGCTATAGGTTGACAAACTAAATCTTCAAGATCAAGTTGGCAGGAAGAAATTTCAAACAATAATTGAACTAGACATATGTATAGGTGTGGCAGTTTGTTGTATGTCTAGAAATAAAACATTTAATACCTTCAGCAGGAAGAAACAAACTTGCACTGATGTGAAATCTCATACAGCATATATAGCAACTGCCTTCATGCATGTTTTGACTTCGCCTCAATTATCAATTTCAATCGATGCTTTAACATTTAAACCTATTCTCCATCTCTAACTATTGTACTGACTTACATTCATAACTTGGTACTGTATTACTGTACTGTAAAGCTGTGTATGTTAGATGTATATGTCTGTATTAATCATCTGGTTCTTGAATACTGAACATGGTTTTACATATAAATCTTTTAAAAAACTTAATAAGATATTATAAAAATGCAACTGCCCTACCCGATACATTGGCTTTAATTGTGAGCTCCCTTTACTGAGCTAAAAATGAAGGTCAGCAAAAAGTATTCAAGGTCAGAAAGTGTAAAAATGTAGGTGATGATGGCTGACTTTAACAATAGTGTACTCATTAAGACCCGGTGATTCCATGTGAAGCTTCATGACTACTTTACTGTTTTGACAAAAAAACCTTGATAAAAGTATATTAAGCTAACCTAACGAATATTAATAAACAAAAATATGTCGGTTGTAGAGGCCAACTTTTGATGTGATACTGCAATACTCTTCAAGATGCATGTGTAAGAGAAGTTTCTTTACAGCCAGAGTGTGTACTGATGTATGGAGGAGAGAAGGAAAGGAAAGAGAAATAGATGGACGTACAAAGCCAACACTATATGCCTCTTCAATTTTTGCAAGCCACAAATAAATTTTAATTTCCTTCCATAGGTGATTCCATAGGCCTGATAGCTTATTAGGGATAGTGTATACTCTGTACACTAGGCCTCCTGTACCAATGAAGTTCTTGTGACTCCTAAATGAATATGTGGTGGACACTATGGTTGGGTGCACATATCAACCGCAAAAGAGGAATCATGTGGAGTATGTGGTACAGATGTGGGATTTTTAATGTTGGCACCACATCATGAGATGTATGCAATTATTTTAGGTTAAGATGGATCTCAAAGTGAAGGTTTGTGTCTACCCCATGATAGGTGCTAAGTTAAAATGATCTAGGAGTAGCTATAACACCTCATTCTTAAGCGAGTGCCTAGTGCCAAAGGACATGAACTTAGGTTAAGCGCTGTAGGAGGAATGATGCATAAAGGAAACAATTTGAAAAGGGAGAGGAAGAAAAGACTGAACACAACTAATGTATCCTCCACTGTAGAGGGAAGCTATAACTGACAAACTAAGCATTTTTCTTTGACTAATACATAAAGCAATCAGATGTTAGCAGCAACCACTTAAATTAAGAGAGATTAATCAGTAGGGATGAGATGTCTCCTCAAGCACATACATCAGGGAAAGATGAAGCAACAGGAAAAAGTAGGAGAAAAATATGAGTCAAGAGAGAACTGGGAGAACGGCCAATACTCTTGAGGCTGTGACTGCTGCACCTGTGTCTAGTGTGATAATGGCTAGGGTCAGTGAGAAATATATCTTGTATGCACTCCCAGCGATGGTCCCTCTTACCAAATCTATTCCTTCTAAACTGAACAGGTATTTGTGACTATGCCAGACATCTTTAAATATATAGGTAATACAGATTACTACTGACTTCATGTATTTCATTTAAAAATTTTGGTGTATATCATAAAAGTTCTTTGTACTTGTCTCAAAACATATACAGTAGGCCTATCAGTAAATTCATCTCAAGGCATCTCATCCAATGAGAAAGAAACAAATAAAACTATTGTATATATTTTCAACACTTATTTACCAAATCAAGAGATCAAATTACAGGATATTTGGGCTACCTTTATCAGGCCCCCTTCATTTACTGACAGATCTTAATGGATAAATTCATGATTGTTGCCATATGATCTACAGTGAAGCAGTGAGAGGAACAGTGCAAAATGAACATTAAAGTGATTAATCTGGACCACTGTTTAACTTGTAGGAGTCAAACATAGTGTAAAGTGTTTGTATCAGTACCTATGGGCACCTAGTTTACCTAGAATAAAACCTTTACATCATCTTACTATGCATAACTATTCATCTGTAAGCACAAAAGATTACCTGAGCAGTGTGTGTGTGTGTGTAAGTGTGTGTGTGTGTGTGTAAAATATTAATACAGTACTGTACACTAATATACCCAAATTTCTATACACTATTACACCTTAAACTTTTACTTCTTGGAGAAATACTAAAACTACACTAATTCAAGTTGCTGTGAAGGAAACTATAATCCTCTAGAACCTGGTAAATGCAAAATAAAGCTGACAGCATTATCTAGTTAAACAGAAAGCCAAAGAGAATGATGGTGAACTGTCTTGCTCATCATAAACAGTAATATATGTTGAGGGAGGAAGAAACTTTAAAAACATAAATGCATCTCCTTGCAATATCAAAAGATTCTGATGAATTTGACTTTTCTACTGAGAGGAGTGCAAAGCAGCACCCCTACCTGGTCCCTGCTGGTTCTGGCTCTCTTCAAAGTGCCATTATTCACAACCTTCTGGGTGTCAAATGTGGAAGGGGAGATAGGGGTGACGAGCGGTTGAGTCACGTTCTCGGCAGAGGATCCTCGGCGAAGGGGACGAGGAGAGTGGTAGAGACGACTAGGTAGGATATGGTGCAGAATGGAATCTTTGTGGCGGCCCTGGAGAGGTGTATTAGGGTTGGGAGTTAGTGTGGTACTTGGAGCAGTTAAATGAGACTGAGAAGAAGAATGAACATTGTGAGGCGGGGGTCGGGGGCTCTCTGGATAAATAGTTGTTTGGCCAATTTTACGTGTTGGGGTTAGTTCAGCGGCAGCCTCAGTCATAGAGGGGAAGAGGGAGGGAGAGGAGGAAGAAGAGGTCAAACCGAATAGAAAGCCAGATGCTTTACTCGACTTCTTCTTTTTTGGATTTGAAGGTGATGACTGCCGAGACCCTGTGCACGACTTTGTCACGTCTTTACTACACTCAATCTGACAACTTTCTTCTACAGCCTTCCCACCTGTATCTTCAGTATCACCTGGATTACTTGCATGAGATGACCGTGTCAGACTGCCATAACCTGAGCTACCAGAGGATGAAGTTGAGCCTAAAGTGCTGTGAGGCGAAGCTGCATTATATTCAAGCCAAGGAAGTGAGCTCTGCTGAATCATGCCATGCTTAGAATCATTAGTAGCATCACATGCCATTCCTACTGAAGGTTCACTGACTATCTTAATAACTGGAAGCTGTGAGTGGTTGTTAGGTACCTGGGCAGTGGCATTAGTGGTTGGTGTAAGTGAGGTGTTAGAGAGAGGATGGTGAGAGAGGGCTGCAGAGATGAGAGCAGCCTGGGAGCTAGTGGTTGACCCCTGGGAGGCTAAAGATCCTCGCTCCCCACCCACACTCTCACTCAAGCCTTGAAGACGCCATGAATAGTCTGAAATCTTGCGAACAACCTCTGAAAAAGATAAGAATAAGTAGTATTGATTCACTGTACAGTTTATATACATGTATAGTCTATAATGTTTAACTCAACTAAAAATGTTAATCAATGGAAACATTACATAAGGTCAGTTTACCTACACAAACAGACAACACATGACCAACCAATTATGATTTTGAGACGGACTTTTCACAACACTATCACATTCTACACATGAGTTTATAATCACTATGCTGCTAAATGGCTTGCAATAAATAGGCTATTTAGCTCATAAAGTACAACATAATGATACTAATACTATACCCACACTACAACTTACATTTTCCCATTATTATTTTCTTATTATTTGAGGTAAAGTATTAATAATTTTAATGTGAAATATTCTGTAGTTACCAATAAATATAAACAGCACCATCATAGCCATAAGGGAGGTCAGCTCTTAACTTTCACCCTTATTGCAATAGCTGAGTCTGACAGCCCTTGTACCACATAAATTTAAGTTTGTTATAGTTTACAACTCCACTGTACATTTAACCAGACTTACTCCTTTTGAATTTTTTTTTAAATATCTGAAGGTGGTCTTAAAAACATACATACAATGTTTGAGACTGAAAATAACTGACCTATGGACTGTTACTATTTACTCTACACCTCATAGTATGATTACTAAGCCATGGTGAGCATCTGTCCTTTAATTCCTCAAAACTAATACAGTAACTCCCCCATCAAACATGTGTGAAATATTAGCATTCAAAAGCATGACACAGAATGACAAGGATGTGGCATTGGCACCTAATATAAAATTCATGGTCATTTCTTTAATGTGCTATCTTAATATTGCAGGACCTAAGATAGAAGAGTTTTTAAAAGCATTAAGGATGATGATGATGAAAGACTGCAAAATGCATATAAACTCAGATAAACAGCTCCCTTCACTAGTTGTTTACAGGGTCTCCTCATATAAATATTCCAAAATTCATTACACTGAGATGTTTGTTATAATACTGTTTTACTTGATTCCTTAGTATATTTACTATTGTGAGTTTCCTTCTGTCAAATGTAAACAAACACAGGGCTGCCACACTGCATAAAAACATGGCGAGCCCCTGTAAACCCACTAGTGAAAGGGACTGTACATCCAAGAAGGATTGGAAGTCATCTCCTTCCTCCTAAAAAAGGATTAAGTACATATCTTTTTCCACTGAGGTCACATAACTAAATAACTACAATAATAGACAAAAATATCCCAAACTCTACCGGAAAATAATTACGTGAACACATAGTTACACAAGTTTTCTTATCTAGGCACAATAAACAACAGGATATATTTACCCGTCATAGAGTCGTCGTCATCAATGTTTTACGGCCATTACTCACACTTATATTTTGTACTTTACTTGTAAATGAACATGTGCATGTAGGAAATTCTGCCATATTTAATCATTTTAACAAGTACAGTACAGGCATCACTCAATGTACAAAGAATCAACGGACAGAATTCAAGGAATACCTGCATAATACACTGTAATATGATGTCTGCCACGACATTATGATGCCAAGACGTGAAATACTGTACAGACATCATTTGGTATATGAAGGATAGATTTATCAATGACTTTCTGAAATAAAACCTTTCTGTAAATCAAGTGATGACGCTCTACAGTACTAAAATCTTATTACTTGCATAATATAATGATTTTTAATTTAATATAGCGAAGGTTTTAATAAGATAGAGAGCCCTGTTACAGTGACTCCCACACCAATATATAAAGTTGTAATACTTTCCTTTAACACAAAGACATAAACTAAATATTTCCACACAATTACGTTGACTCACTACCTACAGTACAGTATATTATTAGGAAGTGATAAAAATGCAATAAGATCTACTTTCAAGATGCATTATCAGCCCTATGGTTTATGCCTGGGTGCCAAAGATCACCATTCCACATCAAGCAGTGCAAGATCACTAGAACTTAAGTTTGAGTCTAAACAGCCATCAAGACCATTACAGTGTAACGTCTATTTAACAGACTACAGTATATGGAGAGGAAAGTTCGTTATATCAAGGGTCTGTTATATATGACACCTCCATATAAAGAACTATATAGAGATGAAAGTACATTATATCGAGGGTTCATTAACTATGAAATCCCCATCTGATGGATTTTAAGGAGGGAGAGAGAGGGAGAGGTCCGTTATATGGAGGTTTCACTGTATGCATATCATCCAAATAGTAGGTGCCTGGTGCTATGAACATCCTCTTCAATGAAGCTGTGTGAGATAATGCAAACAAGAACAAACTGTGCAAAATCAATTCCGATCCCATAAGGAATATATATGTATATACTGTGCACCTTGGTTGTGATATGACAGAGACTTGAATTTGGTGTTCCATTATGTAACATCTGGTACAGTAAAACACATTTATGCAAAGTTCCAAGAAAAACACTTGCATTGATAGAAGAGCTGGGCTACACACACACACACACACACACAATGAAAAAGAAAACCATAAAAAAACAAAAAACTAATACCCTGGTACATATAAATGTAAGCAAACAGGAGAGAGAAAAACTAGAAAAACGACAATAGTGAAGAATATTGTTTGGGTCTTCAAATACAGCAATGTGTTATAATGTTAATGTGGCCACGGGGGGCTTTATTGACAAAACACAAGGTATAACAGGACAGGTTCAACCCTTCCCACTGACAGTAAGCTTGACCATCAAAGTAAAGTTTTATCACTGCCAAGTACACCTGACAGTTTACCTATTTACGGCTGAGTACAATACATAAGGGACTAATGACCAATAACCCAAGTGGCTAGTATACCTGTAAGCTGGTAAGTGGAGAGAGAGAGAGAGATAATCTACAACAGCAAGAAGGGACAATTGACCCCAAAATACCAGTGTGTAACTCCTCGTGTCTCTGTATTAACTGAGAAAAGACTTTAAAGAGTAAATAAAAACATTTATCTTTTCTACAGTTCTAATACAATAAAAGGCAGCCACTGTTTGCTGTAAAAATAAAGATACTGAAATAATAACTGTTTTAAAAATAAATGTTGAAGGACAGCCACATCATCTTGTCCCTCACAACAGCAAACTTGACCAAACACAAATCTTTCTCTTAAATTTATAAAATTAAATATTGTTTATACCCAGTTTGTGCTCTATCTGTTCAACACTGTAAACAGTCGTGCGGAGCGCTTACGTGAGTTGAACATACCGTATATTAAGGAGGCCCCCCGACTTACGAAATCCTGCCGATAAGAACGGAGTTAAACTTGAAATTTACAGTACAGTATTTTATTTACCTGCTGACTTTTTTAACTTTCAGTTACTGTATTTTGTCATTCTATTTCTTATTTTGACTTAAACTAAGTGTTTTAGATGTACATAAGGACTAAAGCTATGATATAGAGTGATCTTAAACATTGTTTTGGAAGTACGGTACTGTATACATATAGCATGTGTTACAACCTACGTACAAATACAACTTACAAATATCCTCAGGAACAGAACCGTTCGTAACCCAGGAACCCCCTGTACAGTACCTGTATTTGCTAAATAATCCGTAGTGTCAGGTGTAAAACTGACATACCACCATAACGTGGTGTTAATATTAATACAGAGTATTCTAATGTATTTATCTAAACAGATCAAGCATAATCTTAAGTAGTATACAGTAAAAGGTTTTAATAATGTCTAAACTATTTCAAGTGATTACTGTCACTGTTGATGGTGAGCATTCATGTACTAAATACAATAAGTCGTATTTCTTTAAATACTTTTTATATAATGTGAGACAATTATTTTATCTTTTCATCTTATTTGGGGAAATTTTACTAGATTATTTCTTGGGGAGGGGGAGGGGGGGGCTGGGTCAAATGAGGTTTTGCAACACATCCCTGTTAAAACATGTAAGTGGATCTCTTAGTGAAATTGCTTGGTGAGATTTTCTCAACACAACCCTCACATAAAACTTGGACCACCTGTATCTTTTATACTGTATATCACTCCGTACACACCACTTTCTTTTACAACTTCAGATAATTCATAATTGTCTTTTTTATTATTCCTTTAGTTTCTTGGTGATTAAGATAGTTTATTCTTGAGAATTTCTTAATTTTTCTCATCTTTAATCAATATCATGCAGGTACAATATTTCTGCAGCCTACACTACTACAGTACATGAAGCTCAGAACAAACAAACATGCAGAGTGTGTCATGCAGGTTGTTGTTGTACTGGTTGGTTAATCCTATTCACAAAATACCTCATAGAAGCAGATATTTTCCAAATGTTCAATGTAGTCAGGACACTAGGAAGGCTCTGTCATAGGATATATCATATGTACTTTGTTAGTATATATATATATTATTATTACTCTCTCACATGTCAGGCAAATAAACATAAAAATTAACAGTAGAATAACAAATTGAACCTAATTCATTAAAAAAATACCTGTACAGGATTTTTTTTTCATATTTAACTCAAATTTTGGTTAGTACACAAAATTTGCCTTCCAAAAAACTTTAAAGCTGTTTCTTTCTAGCCATGCTGATATCAAAATGTCAAATACTTCCTAGGTATAATAATTAGTTCCAAAACCAACTACTGTATCTAATAAGTTGTCCACAAAACAGATAAAAATATGTAAATACTTACCTGGAAACTCATTATACACATGACTACTATACTCTGTTATGTATCATATACATATCAGAGTGAATACTTTGCATGTGTAGCAAGTTAGCCGTACACATTATGATAACAATTTAGCAGTTTTAAAAGCATGATTAGTTTCTGAAATATGACAGCCACTCAACAGTGATTTAAGAACATTGCTAGTAACCGAAGACATGACAACCACATAACTATGCTTTCACAATGTTCACACCACCAACACATTAAGCTTTGCAACCAGGACATAATGCAGAGAACCTTGATAAAAGTTGATACAGTACAGTAATCTTAATGATGGGTGTAAGTCTTAGATAGACCCAGTAATCTTGTCAACTCAATAAATGTCTTTGTATAAACCTAGTAAATGTTTCACTTGTGTTAAAGCTTGTAAACATATCCTTTGTATAAACTCCGTAAAAATTTCCTTTGTATAAGCTCCATAAACATATCGGTGTAAACTCTGTAAAAATTGCCTTTGTATAAGCTCTGTAAACATATCTTTGTTTAAACTCTGTAAAAATTGCCTCTGTATAAGCTCTGTAAACATATCTTTGTGTAAACCCCATTATATTGTTTTAGTGGGAAGGGAAAAGGGGCTAAAAATGTAACTACCTAACATAAAAGTATTTTTTAATTCGATTGGTTTTAATACTCAAACGTTTTCAGTATTTTTAGCCCTTTTCTTTAACTTTTTACAATGCTATTAATCATAAACATTGCAATGAGGATGATTTAGCAATCATTTATGCTCTTTTCCACTTAACAATTTTCGTGAAAAAGCCAAAATCATAAAACACAAGCTTTGACCAGTCACCCAAACTCATTTTACAAGAAGGGACAAAAACTATGGTTAAGTTCAACTTAATGCATGGAAAAATTGGTCTTTTAATAGGCAAAGTTTTAATGAATTCATTTTAATACCCTCGGAGAAAGAGAGAGAGATCATAAACATTGTAGTGGCAACCTGGCTCAATCATTTATGCTCTTTTCCACTTAACAAGTTTCGTGAAAAAGCCAAAATCATAAAACACAAGCTTTGACCAGTCACCCAAACTCATTTTACATGATTAAAGACAAAAACTATGGTTAAGTTCAACTTAATGCATGGAAAAAAATCTATTTTCTTTTACAGGCAAAGTTTTAATGAATTCATTTTAATACAGTCGGAGAGAGAGAGAGAGAGAGATATGGGTAGTGGCAACCTGGCTCCCCTGACCCATATAATACTACATGACCTGAACACATTAGAATCAGAAGCTCAGAGCCCAACCATAAACAGAAGCAGTCACCAGTTACCCTGAACAGTGGCAACTTGGCTCCCTTATAATCAGTGTATAAATGATAAGTATATATTATGCCCGGACAGCATTTTAACAACCGGATGCAAGAATTCATGATGTATACAGTACCAGTTTCTATTTACACATACTTCTATACATAAAAATAAGTAATTAGACAAACGAAATTCTGAATAGCCTAAATTCATCAATACTGAGTGCAAACAGTATTATTTGACCCGGACAGCATTTTAACAACCGGATGCAAGAATTCATGATGTATACAGTACCAGTTTCTATTTACACATACTTCTATACATAAAAATAAGTAATTAGACAAACGAAATTCTGAATAGCCTAAATTCATCAATACTGAGTGCAAACAGGGTTGTATTGACCTGAAACAGACCATTGATATGAAGTCAAAGTGCACGAGACACCCTGGAATAACTGGGTGGATGCTTCCATTGTACTGTATCACTATATAAAATTATGTTAATAATAACTAAGAAAACTATGTAGTAATAAACAAGTTAATTATGAGAGATAATATATAACACAACAGTTATACAGCAAGCTAGAGAATAATGTTTTATTGTATTCGTTTAAATTTCTTTCCCACATCTAAATTAGACTATCGTTGGAAAATCTTTATACGATTTCATTTGCTGATCAACTATATTCTACCTCTGAACCCCAACACATTGATTTGGTATTCACATAATAACTTTCCAATTGCCTGCACTGACTGGAACATGGAAAAGAGGAATCTGATATACCTAAGCAAATTTCACAAAGCATGCCTGGAAATTCTTCAAAAAGACACACTGACCAGAACAGTCGGAGGTGCACTACACACTTGCCTTAAGGGGGGTACTGTATGTTGCTAAGAGAAACACAAAGGTCAGACAGAGAGTAACGTTTGCTTTGACCACCATTAAATAGATATGTATAAATAATGAAGCCTCAGATATTCAAGAAGGAACAGACGTCATGCAGTGAGTCAGACATTGTACATGAAAAACTGTAATCTTGAATGTTGTACTGAGTATGAGATTATGCACCACAGTGTAAGGTAAATGATGATAAAGCAATAAAGAAATGGTAAATAAAAGAGAAATCCCACATAGTCTTCCAGATGATCAAGCGATAAAAAAGAAGAAAAAAAGATAAGAAGTAAACCGACCTTTTTTTTTTTCAATATTAAATGTTCTCAGTACTGTACTAGGCTGGATAATCATAATCAATCTCTCTCTCACACACCCAAACACACACATACACTCTTTTCAGTCACTGTTATTCATCTCTTTTCATAGCAGTAATAAAGAGTTCTGCTATACTGTACTACCACACCCACAAAAGGCCCTTAAAAGCTACCTTGTTTAGCTAACCCCCCCCCCTCCCACACACACACACACACACACAACCTAGCAAGCAACACTCCTCGGCAACAGTAACCACTTACTCAATAATCAAACAACGCCATGCTCTTAGGTCATTCACACACATTACTGCTTCTTTGATGTCCATCCCTGTCACAACTAGCCCCCCCCCCACCACAAAAATAAAAACACTGTACTTCCATTTCCTTCTTGGTCTTCCCCTCTCTCTCCTCCCAACCACCTCTGAATTATCCACTCCTTGTTTTCATTAATTGTAGGAACACAATGAAAGTCTTAATAGCTACATAATCACTACACATCAGACTGAGTAAAGGAGACATAGGAAGATGTAACACTAAAAAGACACACAAAAAATACAATGTCTCAGAGTACCTAAATTACTGGGTCAATGGAGACAAAAGTTGACGAGGTTTTGAAATTTGGTGTGGTTACTACAGTACAGTATGTGGTACATAATGAAACACAGGCAATAAGAAAGAAGTTAGCAAATATGTATGTAATATGGATGGCTTGTTTTAGATGGGAATATATGTTTAAAAAGGAAGTTAATGCAAGATGCAAAATGCATTAAAGGAGCAACATTAAAAAATCAGAAAAAAGGTGAATAGAGGTACAGGAGTTTCCATGTCCACACAGACTGTGTTCAAAAACTGGTTTCATTATTGTCCTGACTCATGAAAATGTGTAGGATATGTGAAAATATTTGGATGTAAATACTAATACAGTAAATAGTTAGCAGTGTGTGCTGGTAATATGAGGAAGACCTAATAGTCAACTCTGTTAAATAAAAGCTACTATGAAGTAATAAGTATGGTAAGGTTTCATAATTATGGTTGGGTAATTTTTTAGACAGTTTGGAGATGTCATTCAATGGCAAAATATGGTATTTTCCCTTATGATATGGCCTTTACATGATGATATGTTTAATATCTTCCATTAGAGGAAAGTGAGCTGGCACTGGCTCGTCAGTAGTGTTCAGTGATATAAACTCACTAGCCTGTGAGTGTTAATGAGACTTACCATTTTCACTTAATTTTCTCAATCAGTTTGGCGATCGTTCACATCAGGGTCTACTGGGGCAGTTATTAATACATTACCCCGGCTTGGACTGACACCAGGTACTGTATAATGTAATCCATGTTCAGTATATTTACCGTCCGGCCAAGATACCTACAACTATTTTCCCATATGCTCAGATCTCTCAATATCTAAAAACATTTCATTGAAGTCTGGTTACATGTGTCAGACATAGTAGAATAGACTAGAATGTGTGGAAAACAAAACAAAAAGTAAATAATATTGTTCTGATGATGATGTCTGTTACCATTTTGTTATAATTCTGAATAATCAAATCCTTATATGCAAATGAAGAACCTGGGCAATTATCACATGTTGCTAAACACTGACCAAAACTTGTATAAAGATTCAGCCAAGTATAGAACTATGAGATGGTTGACTAAATACAGCACAGGGGACTTAGTTTAGGGGATAAAAAAATCACCCAAGACAATTAGTTTATCTTTCAAAAGTATGTTTTACATATCAGGCTCATACACATGATAAATGCATACTACTTTGGTAATTTATAGGTTATAACTTCTAATAGATTCACTACTTATATAAAAAAGGGAAAGTAAAGGAGGTTGAAGCTAAGCGTATCACACTCGTGTAGACTTTTAAGCTAAGTCACAAGGGGACTTAGTTTAGGGGATAAAAAAATCACCCAAGACAATTAGTTTATCTTTCAAAAGTATGTTTTACATATCAGGCTCATACACATGATAAATGGAATTTATAGGTTATAACTGCCTATCTAAGCGTATCACACTCGTGTAGACTTTTAAGCTAAGTCACAAGCTCCTATCTCACCTGTAGGATTGTCTGCCATCTGGTCCAAAATATCCTCAGATTCCATGTCTTGTTTGGCTCGTTGCCACAGTTCGTCTAGTCTCTGCCTCTCAATGTCTCGTCTTTCTGTCTCTCTGCGGTGTCTGGTAACATCCCGGTGGAGCATGGCGCGCGTCTCCATTTCAAACCGTCGAATTCGTTCTTGGGTGCTAGCAGTGAGGCCAGCATATGAACGAATAGCTACCTCATCTCCAACTAGCGCGGCCATTTCTGGGGTTAAGTGACTAGACTGTTGGCTGGTGGCAGGGGTGGAGATGGTGGGTGTACTGGCGGTTAGTGCTAATGATGCTGTGCCTGTATTAGTGCCGACTCCGTCCTTTTTTACCACACAAAATGGGTGACTATTATCTCCAGATATGCCCAGTTTTGTTTGTTCACTACCACTAGTCCTTTCACTATTAAGGCTTTGTGATAAACTAGATACACCAGAGGGATGACTTTGAACACTCATGAGACTCATGTTCGATATTTTACGCTCACTCATAGGCTTAGGGTCGGGTAGTTCCACCATGCTTTCAATTTGCTTCGCCAGTAACCGCTGCTTTCTCAACTCGGCTTCCTTATCAATATCACGTTCCTCAAACCCCCCATCTTTATCACTGTACTTGGAGTCATCGACTGGCTTATCCTCTACGGGTTTTTTGTACTTTACTTTCTGAACTTTCCTATTAGCAGCAGATATGATGGATGAGACGATGTCCTTCTTCATGTCCCCTCTAATGTTACCTGTTGAAAAAATTTACTTTAAAATATTGCAAAAATAATGTGGTTCAATGATGTCAATAACTGTAGTAAACTAATGTAGGAGGTAAATCTGGGTCAACCAATATGTAGACTGTCTTAGGTGACAACACATAGAAACAATAAAGCCGTATATATCTAATGTAGGAGGTAAATCTGGGTCAACCAATAATAGACTGTCTTAGATGACAACACATAGAAACAATAGTCGTATATAACTAATGTAGGAGATAAATCTGGGTCAACCAATATGTAGACTGTCTTAGGTGACAACACATAGAAACAATAGTCGTATATAACTAATGTAGGAGGTAAATCTGGGTCAACCAATATATAGACTGTCTTAGGTGACAACACATAGAAACAATAGTCGTATATAACTAATGTAGGAGGTAAATCTGGGTCAACCAATATATAGACTGTCTTATGACAACACATAGAAACAATAGTCGTATATAACTAATGTAGGAGATAAATCTGGGTCAACCAATATATAGTACTGGGTCAGACTGTGACAACACATAGAAACAATAGTCGTATATAACTAATGTAGGAGATAAATCTGGGTCAACCAATATGTAGACTGTCTTAGATGACAACACATAGAAACAATAGTCGTATATAACTAATGTAGGAGGTAAATCTGGGTCAACCAATATATAGACTGTCTTAGATGACAACACATAGAAACAATAGTCGTATATAACTAATGTAGGAGGTAAATAACCAATACTGTAGGTGACAACACATAGAAACAATAGTCGTATATAACTAATGTATTACTGCTTTTTCAACACATAGAAACAATAGTCGTATATAACTAATGTAGGAGATAAATCTGGGTCAACCAATATGTAGACTGTCTAGGTGACAACACATAGAAACAATAGTCATATATAACTAATGTAGGAGATAAATCTGGGTCAACCAATATGTAGACTGTCTTAGGTGACAACACATAGAAACAATAGTCGTATATAACTAATGTAGGAGATAAATCTGGGTCAACCAATATGTAGACTGTCTTAGGTGACAACACATAGAAACAATAGTCATATATAACTAATGTAGGAGATAAATCTGGGTCAACCAATATGTAGACTGTCTTAGGTGACAACACATAGAAACAATAGTCATATATAACTAATGTAGGAGATAAATCTGGGTCAACCAATATGTAGACTGTCTTAGGTGACAACACATAGAAACAATAGTCGTATATAACTAATGTAGGAGATAAATCTGGGTCAACCAATATATAGACTGTCTTAGGTGACAACACATAGAAACAATAGTCGTATATAACTAAAATATATACGTAACTAAAAGAAATTATTACTGCTTTTTCAGAATGCAATTTACATAATTCAGATACTACATGTAATAATTGTTAAAAGAGCCTTAATATTTACATGGCTATATAATGACAGTTTAACAGAAATTTTACTGTTATGTTGCCCAAATTATCAAGTTCAATTTAATATTTTTTTACTTCCTTTAAGAAATGTTAAACTATCTCTGCACAGTGGTAAATATGCCTGGTTCTACCTTCAACTTTCTGGATGTTATGAAGAAGAAGAGCCTGGCTGGAGGGAGTGTCACACTCTGAGGTGAGGGGCAGACAGTCACCTGCTGGGCTCTGGATAACACTCTGACTAATAACAGGTGGAATCGATTCTTCTCCATCATCTTCATTAAAGAACCATAAAGCCTACAAAAAAATAGCCCAGAGTCAATATACAGTATATACAGTACCTGTCTACTTTTACAATTATACTGCAGGAAAAGATGATATAGAGATCAAGAATTAGTAGTATTTCATCAAACAGTTCTCTCAGTACAGGTAAGTCAAGGCAGACTTCTTGTGGCTAAAGACAACAGAAATTTCAGAATTTCAGCAAATGATTAATTTCTCCATACACTGTACAGATGTCTTATGGATACCACTGTCCTAAAGACTCAAAATTTCTCATGTCATGTCAAAAGTGTCTTATGCAATATGTTGACTCAATAAACAGTCACCTTTAATATTTGTGTTTTTCATTTATTCTTCTGTTATTATGCACGATGGTCAGAACCAAAAGCACACAAAACTCTCTCTTCATTTAGTTTCATATACACTTATTCTCAAACTGCTGTAACATATTTTGCTATGACACTTCATTCCACAAAAGAGCCCCATTATATCTATCTATACCCTTTCCATGTTAACCTGGCCCATAAGCCCCGCCCCTCGTCTATAGCTACAAATAGCCGATTGGTTCCCCTGAGCGTTTTACCTTCCCCGGAATGTGCGTATATAAGCGCATATTTATATCGACCTTTTATAATAAATATTTAAAATTATCTAACATCCTCTCGAAAGCACTAAAGCCTTAAAATCATTTACATTTTGATACTTCATATATTAAATGCTATTTTAGATAATAACAGGTCTGCTTAGCAAGTGTGATTACATTTAGTTGAATTTCCTATGAGCCAATTGGCTATTAGTATAGAAGAGGGGCGTGGCTTATGGGCCAAGTTAGCATGGAAATACAGTACTATAGTTTATCCATTGCCCACCAACAGCACATCCAATTCCACAAAGCAATCAATGATATGCTTTCTACTGCCTCCCTCATTAAATCCCCCCATTGAATTATACTGTACACTCCTGTCATCGAGTTTTCATTTCCTATTATCTGCATGTGTCCCAACCAAAAATATTATTATGATGATGAACACAGAGTATCTCTTAGAGGCCTCAACCAAAAACCAATTTCATATTCTAAAACACTAGTGACAGTTTAACAATCAACTTAGAACTTACTTGACTTATGAGAGTCTCAACAATGCGACATTGATGCGACATGTCGGTGACCATGGTGACCATGTTGTCATCTCCCGAGCGAACAAGCGTTGGTCCGAAGACGATGGCCAGATTACGCACGTCCATCTTATTCATGTCACAGTGACAGACAATATTGTGTAAGTGCAGTATTAGGAACCGAAGAGTCTCATAGTGGTGATCTGGCAAGTCCCGGACCTGTAACAGTACAGTATAGTTAAATGACACCACAAGAAATAAACAAATGAAACAGACAAAAGTTTTTGTGAAAAGATTTGTACAATTCATTTGTCTTTTCAGTCTGCACAGCCAAAGCTACAAAACTGTACTTAACAGTGAGATCCTTCTAATGTATCATGATACAAGCAGCTGTAAAAGGATTACTCTTTCGTAAATGGTATTTAGAATATACTGTACAAAATGTGACTCACCATCTTCCTGAGCTCCACCATCCTTTGGCAAGGATCTTCAATCTTGCTCGCCTCAATAAACAGTGGATAAAGCTCACAAGTGAACAGTGGATCAGGCAATTTTTGAAAGAACTGTTTCAGCATACTGGATATAACATTAACGTCACACCATCTGTCAAGACATATGTAAAGTTTAAAGGAATGTATAAAAACACACACACATGCAAGGAACCCTCAACATCAACACTACTGTACTAACAATTCTTCTCTCAGTATCTTCCCCTTCCAAAAAATTTATATTTTAATTCAACTGCATGCTTGCCAGGAAATTCATGAAGAGGCTACAACAATCAAAAGAGAAGAGAGGCATAACTGTGGCCATAATGAAGGTAATATTTCTGTGAGGAGCTTCAAGACCATTGTGAAATTTCAAGCCTGGCACCTTGTTGAAATTAGTGACACTGGTAAAATGTTGAATATAAATAAAATATTAAGGTACAGTACCAATGGCTGATTGGGATTTCTCCAAAAGAGAGTACAATATTAGATGATTGATTCCCCCACAAGATATGTCAGGTCTGCTATAGGAAGCTTACCTTGGGTCATCATATTCAATAGATTTTGGGTCCTTATTAATCATCTCAGTCAAGTGGGTGACAGCTGCTTTGTTGCCAGGAATGCGATAAATGCCTTGTGTCTGTAAACCTCGGCTCTCTACTACGCCTACACACAGTGCAACAAGCAGTGGGACGAATTCATTCTCAAGTGACTGTAAATGAGAACAAAACACCATTGAAGAATCACAAGAACCTGAATAAAAAAAATTACATCCAATTCGCTATGTTTCCTAAAAGTAGTGATCATGAATTATTATAATAAATAGGCAGTTCTTTTCAATAAAAAAATAGTGTTGCTGTAAATGCTTTCAGTTTCAATCTATTTATCCAACTAGTGTGTGTGGTATATCTGTGAAGTCTTCAAAGTCAGGGAAACCCTGTTGATGGGATGATACATATAGCATTTTTTGTAAGCAGTTCAGCAAGTGATCATCCCAACATCTTCAAATAATAAACACTTAACAAACAACCAAACATTTATACAGAAGAATTATAAGCCATTATCACACTATTAAATATACAGTACTACCACCAATGACCTAATAAGAGTGCTAAATTTTACAGTAACCTTTGGAAAGACAATCATGGAGCCCCTTTCCCAGACAAGAACATTAATGTGGAGGCCAATAAGTAAACAAGGTAGAGAAACAATGTCATATTCTCTTATAGTTGGTGACTACAGTACTGTATACTTCCTAAGAGTTAAGGAAAAATACCAACTACAGTATCTACCTTTCTGGAATTAACAATATCACATCACTGCTTATGTTTGAATAAAAAAATATAGTGTAATTATAAACATGTCGTCACACTACTGAGAATGTACAGAGAGAGGGGTGTAAACAGTACCTGTGGGCAGTCCTCCAGACACACCCCGATGGTCGCTCCCTCTGGCAGTGGCATTGTGGGAGTGACGGCCGGTGACCCACTTGGTATTTTCTTCATAAAAGGTCTCTTTAAGTGACCTCTCCAAGTTTTTGATTTTGGCGAAGAATTACTCTCTGAAGAAAAATTCAGGTTTTGATTTACAAATTTTTGGTTATAGGAAGATGGTATAAATGAATACTTTTACACTGAGGGGAAGGAGAATACTGCATAATTTTACTCTTGATTCCTTGTCTGAAGCACTGACTAACAGCACTGCAGCATCTTTCAATTACAGTGAACCCTCACTTTACGCAGTCAATTGAACCCACGGCGGCCCACGTAAAGTGAGAAACGCGTAAAGTGAACAACATAACATATGGGATTAATTGAAATAGAGACCGGGCCAACCCCCCAAACTCCACTTTTTCAGACACAATACCTACGTTGTAGTAAAAATAACTTCTTAATTTTATGATGGTATGCACACACAATTAATAATTAAGAGAAATATCAATAATATTAGGTTTTTAACACTTACATTAGTAGAAAAGATGGCTGGGCACACGGGGATGGGGGGTTGGTTCCGTGGCAGAGGGCAGATTATTGGCCCTCACCTGTATCACTTGTATCACTATCCACCACAGAGGCTTGCAGGGCCTCTTTGTCAAACCCCTCAAAGTCCATATCCTCACTATCATTATCACTATCACTGACTTGGGCAGGCTGTGGTGTGTGGCGGGTGAAGAACTCGGTAATGTTTTGATGACTGGGCGACCTTGTGCGCACCCTGCTCACGCTGCTCTCCGCGTAAAAGGGTACACACACCGCGGAAAGTGAGCATTCCGGTTTCAGCAGGGTACAACGTAAACGTGGAAACGCGTAAAGTGGGACCGCGTAAAGCGAGGGTTGACTGTATATGAAAAAATATTGATTTTTTCTTCTAAACATCAAAGTTTCTGCTCTTATAGGTAATATTTTTGTTTTAAAGTACATGTACATAATATATCATCAACAATTTCTAAATCAGGTACACATAAACTGAGGTTAGTCTGTAATCGTAAAGACATATCAAAGCAATAACACATTTTTTCCGGAGTACAGTAATCAAAATTTTCAGTTCACAATTTCCATATGTAAATCTAATTTGAAAATTCATGAGTGTTAAAACAAAGCCCAGTGTTATCTACTAACAAAGACATCAGTGTGTCAGTACTACACTTACCAACACTGCTGGGTTTGCGTGTCTTGGTCGAAGGGGACTGACCAGTGGGTGAGCGTGTCCTCAGCGATGATGTCAGCTTGCGCATCGCTTTATTGCTGGGCTGTGGTGATACATTGTTGTTGTTTATGGGGGTTTTGCTGCCTGTTTCACCTTCCTACAAAGCATAAATATTACCATTAGTTTCCTCAAGAGCTTCATTGCATCACTTAACTTGAACTTGTATGATTCCACTCATAAGTATTACCCTTACTCTCTCTCCTTTTTTAACATATTATTCACTGATAAACTACACTAACTGGATCACTAAGAAATAAAAATAATTAATACATAAAAACTAAGGCATATACAGTACCTATAAGATATTGGAAACTTAATACAAATACAGCATTCAGATAACACCTTTGAGCAATGTATCACTCTTCATTGAGTGGTACTTCTTCATCTTTTTACCTGTGTTATTCCATATCAATATTACTAGAGTACCAACAACCAGAGAAATAAAGTCATGGATAAAACAGTGCTAAAATGCATCAGCTTTAGGAATCCGTACATCTCCTTGGTATCAAATTTGAACATGCTATTCAGGTCAAAATCACTGCATTTTCTTGATCAATTGGCTTCTCAAATGAACTGCTTATATATGCTGAGTTAGATAGGAGTAAGGTTATTCAATATCCCAATACTGTACCTTCCAAAAGATCACTTTAAGCCAGTAACAATCAAAAGGACAAAAGATACAAACAAAAACTAAAAAAAAATAATAATATGATACAATCAGAAAACATGGGAACAAATAACTAAGAAAAAGGAATACAGTATAGAATACATCTCATGCTCACTTGTATGACACAATTGTTCTGAAGGGTGGAAAGCCAAGCCAACATCTCTGGTGGGGTGTCAGCTTGAAGCAGCAACTGTGAGCCGCCTGGTGTGGCAAGACGCAACACATTCCGCCGCTTGGTGTAGTCACTTGCAACCTCAACTTCAGCACCTCGAAGAGATATCTGTTCCTCTACTCCCAAGGGTGTCTGTAAGAGAAATACACACCCATTATAATTCAGAAGTAATATGAAGGTATGTGAGATAAGAGTCAGAATTGTTAGCTATAAAATCTAGAAGCCTGGTGCTGCCCTGTCCTGTGCTGTACTATACTGTACTTAGGTATAACTCCAATTCTCCAACAAGTGTCATTAAGACAAGCTGTAATTTCAATGTGTAGCTGCGCATAACTGACAATTCACCTCTTGTTTACTATATTAATAAAATCTAATAAGTCTTTTCAGGTTAATATTTTCCATCAAAGCTCCATAAAGCCAAGACTACAATATGACCCCTATGATAATAATTATTGTACAACATTACCAACTAAAGTGTATGTGAGAATGATCATATAATATTAACATGCACGATTAATAATCTTTGGACAGTACAGCATTGAATACAACATGTCACTACTCGAAGTTGTTTCAATTATTACCAGTGTGTTAGAAGTACAAAACTCGTTTCATTAGTCACATTAAGTTGCTTTATCTACCTATAATTCAGTTATAATAGCCATGTTATTTTAACAATCAAATACCTGTACTGTATACATTTAATTTCACTACGTGTTATTGCCCTAAACATAAAGTACAATACATTACTACAGTACATATAATTCTGGACGAAATAGTTGACAATAATATAAATATGGTATTACACTGTATTGCTAACCTATTTTGCATTACAGATTACCTATAATGACCAAATAAGCCAATATATTACTTAGTCATAGGCACACAAATAAGACTTAAAAGGTTTCATTGTTGGGCACTGTGTAAATATTAGCTTACAAGATAAACAAACGGTATTACCCTATTCAAGAGTTTTGAACATACAGACCCTTGTCAATTACTGCCTCTTGGGGGTAAATATTTATACCAGTGGTGAAATGAGGCCATGATCCAATAAATATTTGTTTGTATTGGATAGACAGGTTCAAGATGCGAGTTACCTTGCTCCTGTCCTTTGAGACCAAACCTTTATGTAATGCAAGACTTAGCTACCTGGGACACACCTGCCTATAATAGTTAACATCAGCAGTCTCTTCCCCCACACTGCCTATGTTAAGAGCAGGTAACTGTTTTATCTCTGAGTGCTGTACAGTATGTTGACTGAACCCTTGGGTATAATGGCATCTTAAAGGTGTGCATAATCGTATTCCTTGGGCATACGCACTGTACTCAAGGAAAGTCATTGTACTCAGGGATCGTCATCAGTTAAAGGGGGTTAAGTTATATTTTTCATGGGACTAATTTCCTATAGCATCGTATTCAGATTAGCCTCAGATTCAAGGAGTTAAATGCTACTTCTATATATGTTTCCAGTGTGTGTACTGTACCTGCCCCAGTGATAGTGTGTAGGGTGTACTGTACCTGCCCCAGTGATAGCGTGTAGGGTGTACTGTACCTGCCCCAGTGATGGCGTGTAGGGTGTACTGTACCTGCCCCAGTGTGATAGTGGGTTGTATTGTACACCCCACCCCAATGTGGTGTGTGTGTGTGTGTGTAGAGTGTACCTGCTCCACTGTGTAGTATGTGGAGTGTACTGTACCTGCCCCACTCTTACCAGGTGGGCCACTCCTAGTATGCCCGGGGTGAATCAGGTCTCACTACACCCGGCCCGCCGGTAACACTATATCTCCCCACCTTACACAACTACAGACGTAAACTCTATTGCTCTCTGTTTGTCCTTATTATTTACTAAAATAAGTGTTACATAACATCTTATTCCTCACGGCATACATAACTCAATGTTTGAAGGGACTACATCAAATGGTTTAGAGTTTTAGAACGTGACATTTTCTTATCACCTGAACACAATATTATACAGTATTCAAGTCATTAAAAAATGGGGGGGGGGGCAGATTAAATTGTCTCTTCATGCCACGAACGAATAAAATTTGCATTAATTTATCTTTGAACAAGTAGGTTACCGATCACTAACCGTGAATTCCGTCAATTTGCAATTATCTTAATATTCTGGTTGTGAAAAACTTGAAGCACCAACTTACCCAAGACCCATATGAAGAGGCGCTCCAGAAACGCGGGATGCGACCATTGGCAGCAACAGCTGCTATTGGTACACACGCTATCTTCATGTTGGCTTTTTAGGAGGTGCACATAGCATTAAGTTGTTCAAGTGGTAAAGTGGTCATAGTGTGGGGGTAGTTCAGGCGGCTTTACACAATGTCCACTAACGTTAACTTGGTGTGGACAGACAGTGGGAGGACTAACGGAGGAGTTGAAGCGTAGGCTGATAATCTGAGTTGGTGCACATAGTATTGTAATCAACTTCCAAGACAGGTTGAGAAATTAAAAGGGTGTTGTACACATGTTGACCAGGTGAGTGGTGTGTGCGACAGGTACTCGTGCTTAGGTATGAGGTGGTCGCTGAACACTGCAGCATCTTATCTTGCGAAGCGGAAGCCACCCCTCCCTTCCTCCACGCTACCAAACACACACGCCTTGTTGACCGTGTTCTATCTTACCACATCGTCTGGTATGATCACCATCCACTAGATTCATTCTCTTCATTATTTCCATATCATTTGCTTTAATTCTGATCACTTTGTTTATCTAAATACTATTTTTAATTTACTAATTCACGTTCTTGGAGGAACTGTCGTTGCCATTCCTATTATTTAAGTGCTGTACATTTCCTTCTTGCAGTCATTTTCCTTTCTCACAATCTTGAGGTTGTTCAAAGAAGAATCAAAGTATTTTTCATTTTCCGCGGGCATTTACATGAAATCTTTATATGTTTCAATAACATGTTCTTAATAATAAAAATATCCTCTTATTGGGCTAGGCTGTTTCACTTGGTAATGTTTTTCATATTACAGATAACATTCTCAATAACTACAAATCTGAAAAAAGGCTGAACTTGAAACTTCTCTTCGATGTTATTACAACAGCTAAAATTGCTAACATTCTCCACACCCGACAAAGCTAACGAGAAGTCAAAGTAAAGGGGCCAGCAGTGTGGGGTGAGAGGGGAAGAGTTATCCTGACCGGCACCAGGAAGCAACATCGGGCCAGCCTTGCCCTGCATCATACTACCTCCTCCACACCCACATCATATACCCGCCTTACACCCGGTTCTTCACTGACCACCCATACTCAACAGGGTTCACTTTCACACAGTTCACCGACATCATTACAACAATATGCCTATGTGACGCACCAACCGCCGTATTACCTTCACACACACTGACCAAGGCACCAACACCCGCACTGTTCAGCTTGGGTCAGTACTCGATGAAGACCGAACTAGACACTCAAAATCACAATTAGATAAAACCATGCAGAATAGTCTTTGACCCTTACTTCACAGGGCGAAAATACCTTAAATGATTCACAAAATTTATGACCCTAATTATTGATGGGTCTAATTCATAAGACTACCAAACTTTCGGTTAGGTTGTTTACACATGCCGGCGTCACTTCCCTACAGGACACAGTATATGGTAAGGTTAACATGGGGAGGATAAAACCAGTGAAGCGAAGAGAAGGCTGGACACTGGACCCCTACAGGCACCAATCTACGACCCGCCAACCAAACACGGACATGCCGCCCCGCACCCTGTAAGGACGCACCACAACCTTGTTTTCACGCCCGACCGCTCATTCATTTTATCTCCTAATCAAATAAATAAATAATATACACGACAATACTCCTCCTAAATGAAGTACATAACTGCAAAGCAACTGCGGCATAACAGCGAAGGAGACAGCCGCAAGATAGGAAGTGCCGTCATGATGATATCAGTTCTGCCACAAGATCAACTTGTGCGGGGGCCCCCTGTTCCTCCTCTCAAGGAAGACAACAACAAACCCATTCCGGGATGGCAGTGTCTTCCAGGCCAGGTCCCCTCCCACTATCACTCACACCACGCTCGTGCAACCTCTGTAACCTAACCTAACCAGTCCTGTAATAGGCTTATTATCTTCCCTTCACCACATACCCCCATTTAGTATTGCCACCTCACTTCCCGGTTAAGGGAGTTGCCAGGAGTTTATTTACCCGCTCAACCGTCTAGATAACGAGGCATAAAAAGATTGTTGTTGTACAGTATGCTTTAGAAAAAACACACCAATGGTCATGTTCTTAAAAGACCCATGTGTGAAAGGGGGTCAAGAGATACCAGTAATGTAGTTGTTTGTGGTTTTGGCTTGTACAGTACAGGTACAAGTGACTGTTCTTACAAAAGCTGATACTCAAGTTGTACTCTTGCCATCGTGGAGCCCAGGAAGGCTACACTCACCGTCGATATTGGCTTGCAAGTCCTGTACAGTAGTGTAGGCGTCAAGCACTAATTATATTATCATTAGTAAGTCTGGCCTACATAAAAAAACAACTCAATGAACTACTGAAAATTTTGATTTGTGATTCATATCGACGACTCTCGTGTTCAGTAAAGCTGTATGAATGAATGCCACCTTGAATTTCATTTAATTATCCGGAACGGAGGACTGGCCTGTACAGTAGTTTGTCAATTGTGAATATTTTGTTTAAGCTTGCAAGGAAGATGGTCAACAAAGCAGTTACAATTATACAGAATATCATAAAAAAAATCACCAGAGAATTACTTTACAGGTTATAACCAAATGACGCTGAACAATGACGTAACCGTCAATTAGGACCCCCCCCCCCTCCACACACACACACACATTTATGACTGAAAGATGACAAACGAGTTTTCGATTTAAAAATGAAAGTAAAGGAAAAAAAGTGGAAGGTTCTAAGCTCAGGAAGGTTACCAATATAGGGAACTAAGAAAAACCTTGACAGAAGTAAACCTAGCACGATCCAACCCACCCTCCCTCCCTCCCTCCCTCCCCGGTGAAAGCTGGCGGCCATTAAAGATCATATAATATTCTGAATTGCCGTAGTGAGGTCAGGGTTAGAATTGGACTGTTTACCGATGATAGAAAAAGTCAAGTTTAGTCAAGGAAGAGGTAGTCGGAAAAATAAGATTCCAGAAGGGTTGATATTTTTAAAGTTTAAACGCTGGCGCAGGTAACCACAACTACACATGACACTGTAGCTTTGAATTCTGTAAAATCCACATCAATTGAATTCTTTTTAATGTCTTGGCGTCTAGAAGGGTGTTTCATCAGTGGTCGTGTGTGTCCAGGTTGAGGGAAGTAGCTGCTCATAAAACAAAACATCTATAGCCCTCTCTCTAATATACACTTACTTGCTCAAATGAAACACCAAGTAGTTTTTTTTTTCCTTTTAACGCCGAGTTACAAGTGAAGACATTATCTGCAGAATTTATTGGTTCAGTTAGAGGCAATACACGATGTTGTTTACTGTTTACATGCGAGTCAAACCGCTGTACTGAAATATTGGCTTCAATAACTAGAAGAAAACAAACCCGACTACTACTTGGATTAGTCAGATGACACAGGAGCCCTCATATGATACTACACACACATCCACCTCACAAGAAACAGACAGGAGAAAGGGAGGCTACAGGCCCCCGGGGGAAGGTTCAAGAGGTGAAGGCGAGGGAGGAGGAGCCAGTACTAGGCTAATCCTCCTCGCAGCTAACACACGCGGGAAGCACAGGCGGATATTAGGGAGCCTGAGGCGCCCATGTAATTTTCACACACACACACACACACACACACAGATAGATAATGTACCCAATGGATTTACTTTGTTAACTATCAGTATCGCTCTCAACACAAGTATACATATTATCATACAACTTTTTGAGTACTGAATATAATGAAGCCATTAAGGACAACTGTATATAGGTCGGCGACTACCAAAAATAACTGAGGACGAACTAATGTATCACCTTCCTGACGGCAACACTATTAACTGGCGATAATTACCGGCTAACTTTGTCGCGCTTAATTTGTTTTTGTTTTTCATACGAGACACTGTACAACAATACTGAAGGCGTAGCTATTATACTCCAACATTGAGTCGTGGGTGTGTGTCTGCCAGCTGCTCTGCGTCTTATACTGTATTTTCCTCGCGCACAAGTTCTATTTGGTAATGTCCCACAAAATTATTATAAGTATATTAACTGGGCCAAAGGTGATGTTTGTTACCATTTGGGTCACTAGGTCAAGGTCAGCGATGAGCAGTTATTAAGGGTTGTGGAATGATTTGTAAACACTTCTCCCAGTCTGAACTTTTAAATAATCTCCATAACAATAAACAGTTTTGACGCCAACTAAAAATTAAGGAAGCAAACATCACCACCTACCTAACGTAACCCACTTGGTCCGGAAGCCGTTAACATCGTCATTATATATGAATACAAAGCACGACGAAGGTAGAGGGGAATTTCACCCCATAATACCTGAAATTCCTTGAGCCATTTCCTCATAAATAATACCGGTAATGTTTAAATTTTGTTTTGAGTAACGAACTGTCAGAACCTTGCGTGACGGGGTGTAGGTTTACCAAGCACTGGCGGGTATGTTTGTTTACACAGTACATTAAGGTACGTCTCCTCCCGGGTAATCAGTGTCAGCTGGTTTTTAGCGAACCCGCCGCGAGGAACAAGTCAAAATCCAAGCCCAAGGTCATCTTCACAATGCCTCGCTCCACCTATCTTCCTCATCCGGTCTTCCTTATTGTTCTTTTATATAGTAACTTATTAATTCACCTATGGGAAGGGAATAGTATGTGTGTATGTGTGAGTGAAAGTAAGTGAGGTGGGCGTGTGAACAGGGTTGAGGGCTGGAGGGGAGGCAGGTGGCAGGAACGGTGAATGAGATGCCCGCGACCACTTCCTACTCCGCCGCACAGTTGCCACACATGTATTACAAAATACAACTCACAGCAATAACTCTATTGCCGTTGATATAATAGATCAACAGTAGACAGTTGTACCCTAAAAAAACTGAGGAGGCTTATGAAAGTATCAACTTTGAATAAGCCTGAAAGGAGAGTAAAGTACAGATAGATATGAGTGGAGCGAGCACTTCCGCAGACCACACACATCTGACCACAGTGCCGCATGGTCAGCGTGCCACCTCGACTTTTGTCATTTGATCGTATCTTCAGTTGGTACGAATTATGCCACCTAATGTACTTTTTACTGCACCATCATTCTCGCGTGATCAGTCTTTAAGTTTGCATTGTTGGGTTATTGGAGGAGTTAATGTATTGGTGCTGCTAAAACATGGTTATAAAGTGTATTTTTTAAGCCCCGAGACTGTCGAGAAGTGTAATTTCAATTTGTTCTAACAACTAATACAGTACAGATCCAGCAACTGAATTTCGGTAAGCAATGTTTATTTTATAAGTGTTGAACAATAAAGCAGTAGGTAGTTAGACGACAAAATACGATTTGCTGATAAAGACAGACAGACAAGTGTTGGTTGCGGAGAGCCCAGCAGCCGTCAGGCACCACCGGATGTGGTCATCCAGCCTCCCGCCACCATATTGATCTGCGCGCTGCCTGCCGTCCTCAGTCTTCCCAACACTTGTTATCCACATTCTTATTATTCTCATGTTCACTCATGACTTTTCCTACACACACACACACACACACACAATTTATATATACCGGTACCGGGTGACTACAAATTATTTTCCCGATTTTATAAACATATAATATAATGAATTGGCTACAGCAAAAAGCAATAAATATTAATAAAGAACTCAAAACGTTTCATTTTTATGTTACAGAAATTCAATACGAGTTCCTATTGTGGCTGTAGAAGCCAGGGCAGTATTGTTTTCCGCCAAACATTTAGTAGCACATTATAACTGAACATTTAAAACAGCCTCACGGTTCATTTTCTTTCAACATTTTAAGTTACTGACATTGGTGGAACAAAGGCTTTAATTTTTTGACATAGCCCCAGAAGATAAAGTCAAGGGGACTTA